ACACGACATACACAATGTCTAAAATTAGTCGGCTTTTGGTATTATAAGACGTCCACAACGACCACATTTGGACTATAAATAGCCCATACATGGAGGTCACACGGCCGTCAATACTAGACGTTCATTAGACGTCAAAAAAAGACGTCGCCTGGCGTTACAAAACAACCCCTTCAGTGGACCAAAATTGGACGTCCAAAAACGACATATTAAAGATGTCATTCCGACGTCACTATGCGCAGTGGGTTTATTCTGTTATTATTTATTATTTAACTTTGAGTCGATGGTGCTCCATGGAACTACCAGCAGGCCCTGGGATTTACCATCCTGTGTCTAGCCCAGCCATATGCTGATGTTACAGTACGCGGTTCGTTATTTCCCCTGGGAGTTTCCTGCATGCTAACAAATCCGGCCCCTCTGATCTCTCTTTGAAGTGGCAGTCAATAGGTCTGAAACAGGAACGTCATGAGGTCCAGTTCTCTAGAGCTGTGGGCTAGATGTCTCTCTGGAGCACGTTCTCACATGACTCTCATTGAAAATGAATCATTTTAATGAAAAGCAATTATTTCCTTTTCTGACTGATCTGTGAAGCTCAATATACTTGATATGAGAAATTACGCAATCAAGTGAAGAGCCGTACATGTTGTGATCTTTCCATTTCTAAACTGCTATTCAGTAATCCTGATTTAGACTTCCAGTACTCATGACTCCCTGAAAAAAAGTCCCGTTCCCCATTACACAGACCATTCTCATAAAATCTGATCCAGACCAGATCATTCTCACGAGTCCGTCTATTAAGGAAACTAGGTATGTCCACTATTATGTCAAATAGTATAACTGAATAAAGATTAGAAATTACAACGCAGGAAATAGTATAGTGCTGAGTATTATTAGGCCTATAACAATCCGGCTCTTAATGAACTGAGTGGGAACTGATTGATTACTGGCCATTAGATAAGGCAAATATGCAATATAAAAGTGTCTTACTCGACGATCGGAGAGATTGAAGCGATATGGAGATGTCTGGAAGAAGTTAGGGTAAGAGAATAGAATATTATGGTGAGGTCGAAGAAAATGGTTTTTGTCTGCACCTGCGGAATGGATCAGTATTTCGGACAGGGAAGGAAAGTACATGTGGAAGCAGTCATCGTACTTTCCACTGACAATCCTATCGAAAAACCCATCTAAGCGTTTAGACATTCGTAAACATCCACACCAATAGGGGGCGCGGTTGAGTGCAAAGCGTCGTCAGACGGGAAGTAAACACACTGGTGCCATTGAAGATGGACTAAGATGTGGCGATCTGTCTGTGATCGCTCTGGTTTCGACGCTTTTCACTTCCCGAACCGGGGGTTTCCCCATGCTCGTGGTTTTACGTCTGAGGAAGTTAAGGGGAAAGAACCCAAGTCTCCAGACTTTCGTGGTATTTTCTGAGGGTGAAATGACGGTTCTTCTTCCCGGATGCCAGATGCGAAATCGCGTCTCCCGAATGCCGACGAACGCAGATACCAGGCAGCTAGAGGACAACATCAGGTTGTAGAGGTAATTATCGTCCCGAATTCTCACGGCCATTAAAATGTTAAATGACAGCGATTTGATTAAAAATATCTTAATCTGTCTAGTTCAACGATAGATACGCTGTAAATATGAATATTATTTTATCTGTCCCGTTCAGTTCCATGTGAGCAGCCATGTTCCGCCCCGAGGCTCTACGCCCGGACCCATGGTTCTTCTCCCAGTTCCCTGCACAGCGGTGGCTGCTGGGCTTCGGGGCTATCCTTGCCTGGATGCTTCTCTTCCACTTGCTAGTGAACGTGTGGCTCTTGTGTGTGTTCACCAGCATGCTGCTGGTGCTGGGTGGCTGGCTGGGCTCGCAGGCGGCGCTGGACTCGGGCAGTTTCATTCACCTGGAGCGATTCATGGCTCTGGAAAGGCTCCAGAGCTCCCCAGAGGGTGAGCAGCAGCTGGACCGCGAGATCCGGAGCATGGTGCACAAGATCGTCCGGGACTTTGTGTCCTCCTGGTACAGGACGGTGTCCTCGGAGCCCCTGTTTGAGGAGGAGGTGGAGCGGGCCATGCTTGCTATTGCGACAGAGCTAAAACAACGGGCCAGGATGGTGGACCGCAGGGCCCTGACGACGAGACTACTAGAGCTGTGTGGAGTGCATTTGCGCAGCTACCTGGCTGCCAGGGAAATGGCAGCAAAAGAAGAAGGAGCCAGTGGTCTGTGGGAGCTGTACTGCCGCAGCTGCATTCCTCACCCGGCGCTGCGGAGTGACGCTGAGCAGGTGAACTACAGCCGCGCCGTGGTGGACCTGCTTCTGCATGTGCTGGTCCCGCCTCCTCACCTGGAGACCCGGACAGGCCGCTTTGTTGTCGGGGAGCTTGTTGCATGCAATGTTCTTTTGCCCCTTCTGGCCAAACTGTCTGATCCAGACTGGCTGAACCAGCTGGTTGTCAGCGTCTTCGCTGAGGCGGGCCAATGGGCCTCAAAGGGGGCGGTGTCGGCCGCAGATCCGCCCGACGCCGGTCCCACAGCGCCACAGCCGGGGGTGTGGAAGCTGCAGGACATTGAGGTGCCCTCCAGTTTGACCCTGAGGGTCCCTCCAGAACCACCCATTGTGACAGAGCCCCCTACACCAGAAATGCTGGCTTATGATGTCATCGATGCCACCGAGCTCTTCTCTCAGAACCCAGAGGAGGAGGAAAGTGGGCCGGAAGTAGGAACCAGGCTGTTTGGGGTGGGGAGAGCAGAGGTCAGTCCAATGGATTACCTGCGGCCTGGGAAATTCAACCCATTCTATCGAGAACCGGACTCTGACCTGGATTCTCCCCTGTCTGACTTCAGACAAAACTCAGTGGAGTCGTTGGTCCTGATTGGTGAGGACACACTGTCAGACCGTTTTGCGGAATATTCCACTCCATTAGATAGCTGTGGTGCTGTGGACCCACTGGATGAATTGCAGAGCAGCGTGGGTCTGGGAGAGAGCTCCTGTCCGAGGGTGCTTGTATCAGAGGGATCAGACCGACCTGGTACACCCGCAGGCTTGGCAGATGTGAGGCTGGTCCCTGAACCGGAGCAGGCCGACGAAGGAGACACAGTACCCCCTGGTGGGGTGCAGGCCTCCCGATGTAACCCCAACGAGCTGTCAGTGGCACTGCCCCCCCCGCAGGCCTGCTCGCCCCTGTCGCCGTTCAGCTTCGAGCCTCCAAGCAGCCCCGAAGGCCCCATCATCATCCAAAACTTGCGCATTTCTGGGACCATCACAGCCAAGGAGCACAGAGGCACCGGCTCGCACCCCTACACCCTGTACACCATCAAGGTGGGCCTGGTCCGGCTGAGGGCTGCATGTCAGCGGTACCCTGATGGCTGATGTTGATCCAGTTAGCCTGTCTGGGTGGCTTGGTGTCTGGTTGCGTGTGTCTGTGTGTCTGGTTATGTTGTCTTTTCTGCCTGTATCCATATTTGTATCTGGGTGTGTGTTTGGATGTCAGTCTGTGTTTGTGTCATCATCTTTTGAGCATGTTTGAGTGTCAAAGCCTTGGTTTGGGAGCCTGGGTCTTTGTGTGTTTGGGTTTGTGGGCATGTTTGGGTGACTCAGTTTGTTGGCATGTTTGTCTGGGTGTCTGGGTGAGTTGTATAATTTTTCTGCCTGTATGTGTCAGTTTCCACATCTCCCTGCCTGCTCACCGGTTCCAACCATGTCTTACTGCTACAGTACGAGACTGCAGTGGATGCTGAGAATGTGGACCCCGCCCCGCCCGTGGCCTACCACACTGTGAACCGGCGCTACAGCGAGTTCCTCAACTTGCAGAGCCGCCTGGAGGAGAAACCAGAGCTGCGCAAGATCCTGAAGAGTGAGCCTGCCGAGCAGCCGATCCTCGGGCCGGGCACGGCTGCGCCCCTGAGGGGACAGCTGGCGGGTGGCCGCTCCTCGGGCCGGGCACGGCTGCACCCCTGAGAGGACAGCTGTTGATATGCTCTTCTTTTGTGTCTTTTAGATGTGAAAGGACCCAAGAAAATCTTCCCAGACCTCCCCTTTGGAAACATGGACACAGACAGAGTGGAGGCCCGGAAAGGCCTCCTGGAGACCTTCTTGAAGGTGCCGCTGCAATCAGCTCTGACGGGAGGAGGCGGGTGTCCAGGGTCCTGTGTGTCTGTACTGAATAAAACACTATTTCACTGCAAAATGTTAATACTAGTGTAATTTTTCAGGGTTTGAGTGTCTTTGCTTATTATCATTATTAAGCAAACCACAGCCCACACCATATTGTAACAGGGTTTGTACTGCAGTACTCAACTTTCTTGTTAATTTTATTTCAGCAACTTTGTGCTATCCCTGAAACGGCCAACAGTGAAGAGATGCAGGAATTTTTGGCCCTCAACACAGATGCAAGGATCGCCTTCGTGAAGAAGTCTTTTATCGTTTCACGGATAGACAAGGTAGCTGAACACCGTCACCTAGACCACAATCCTTAGTGTGGCATCCTGCCTTCAGTGGTCTATAAAAATGGGTTCGTAAAGTGCTGAATTTATTACCAAAGTACATACTGCCACCTGCAGTCCAGGTATGGTACTGTAAGATTCAAGTCTGACTTGCGTGTTCTAGTCAGCAGGTGCTATCAGTTAGTCTGAAATGTAGCTAATAATGTTAGCACGATTATGGTTTGGTCTGAATAGCTGATTAGGGTCTGGGTGACAGCACCATAAATCGCTTGATCAAAATCTTCAGTCAGGATCCCATCTTTCACGTGCATTTGGGAGTTTGTTGACCGTGTCAGATGTGGGTTTGCAGATTGTGGTAAACGCCATCGTGGATACCCTGAAGACTGCCTTCCCTCGGTCTGAACCGCAAAGTCCCACCGAGGATGGAGATGCTGAGCCTGACGGGAAAACACAGCTGGACAAGAAAAACAAGTATGCAATATTAAAGAAAATGAAAACTATGAAAATGATTTCATTAATTAGTACTATTAGGTGTTTGTTGTCATTAAGGTGGCTGTATATTTCAGGCTAAATTTTAGCAATATGACATATGAGCCGTTTCGTGGCACCACTTGTGCAGGGTCCCTGAGGCAAATTTCTTGTTTGGTTCTGCCCCGACCCACTGCCCTCGACTGGCTGACGTAAGAGTGACGCCGTAGGGTTGTGCAGCAGGACTAATTACACAGCTTTGCAGCACACCACACTGTAAATAGTTAATTACTATGTGAAGCATTCGTGTATTTCTGTTCATAGACATTACATACAACATTTTGTAACTGTGTAATATATGTTGTGGAATGCGTGTGTTTCATCAGCATGTAATAGTGTCGTGTAAATCGTCAGCTTCCCTGTCTGTGCTGATACTGGTATTAAACCAACAGCGGCTGTTAAAGACGGCGACATTTTAAAAGAGGCGTCTCCTTTATTAGAGTGTCACACTCTCGCTGCAAAAGGTTTATTTGCTCTCTTTACATGGGTCTGCTGCATCGAAAGCATTTTGCGCACCTTAGGGTTGTGGTGTGACATAGAATGCGGTGATGCCGTTTTAAGCATGCAACAGATTGCTCTCGTCGATATTTTCGATTTAGTTTTGTCTGGATGGCATTTTAAGTATTCGGCCACATATAGTGTTTTACACATATTACAGAGCAGAGCTCCCCCTAGTGGCTCCAACAGGTCAGCAGTTTTCCACCGAAACTGGAAGGTGACATTTTAACAGCACAGGTGGAATATAAAATGTTATTCTTTTAATGTAATGAGCAAATGAAAAATAGATGGAAAAAGGCAGAACGTCAGCTGGCTGGGCAAACAAGATTCCTGCACAACCACTGAGTTTTACTGGGCTAGAGCAGAACTTTAGCAAAGACCCTGATTGTGCCTGGTTTTCCCTGTTAGATCTCGCCTGAAGTTCTCCAGTAAGGCGACGCCTGTACTCAATGTGGCCAGCGTTCAGCCCCGGGTGCTTTACTGCTTTGAGGAGGGAGGCACCGTAAGTGTGTCGTCACTGCCCCCTAGTGGCCATTTTCTGTTATATTTGCGATACCATCTTCAGAACCTATTCCAGCATGTCTGAGCACTGATACACTCAGTGGTGACTGTCACCTCTCCCAACCCTGCCGATGCAGGTATTCGGCGGCCTCTCTCTGGACGGTCTGGAGGTCTTTGTTGCAGAGCAGGAGCGGATGGTAGGCCGTGTGTCAGCGCCGGAGGCTGTGGGGGAGCGGGCCGTCAGGCTTGGGGGCCTAGTGGGGCAGCTACAGGTTTCAGCCAGTAAGGCCACAGGTGAGGGACAGGGTCCTGCATGTATGCAGGAAGGATAAGGGTGGCGGTCCTAGGGCTTCATGGGTCATTTTTGTGCCATTATTTGAATTTTCTGTCCTGTATATTCCTCCGAATAATATCTGTCACAGGGTTTAGCGAAGAAAGAATGAACTTTAGTTTTTGCTCCCCTGGGTAAATGGGCTTATTGACCTGCATCAGAGCTGCCGCATAAAGCCGCTGTTTGTCATTGCCCAGGACCACTTCTTCCTTTATTAGGATATAATGGGCCTCACACTGAGTTCTTCATAAGGTTGTTCTGTTTCTGACTATATATTTTTATTTGCTTTGCTGCAAATATTGTGCAATGTAAGTATTTATAAATGTTCAGAATTTAGCATATGTTTCTTTTCCAGCTGTCAGACATATAAAGGAACAGACAGGAGCAAATTTTAGTAGCCGACTGGCTCCTTTTTGTTTGCAGTACTGCAATGTTGTCACTAGAGGACAGTATTGGTAAATATTTGTAGGCATGCTAACAGTTTCTTAATATCGATTTGTAGAAAACAGCCATAACCTCGAGCTGAAATAAAAGCAGTTTTTCTTATTTATTTGACATTGTATGTCATTGATATGTGTTGTGTGACTGTGTTCTCACTTGTTTGGAATTGCACAGCAGTCTATTCAGTCACTGTGTGTCTCGTCACAGCAGCCGAGACTGGCCTGGCAGACGTGGCCCAAGATGTTCTCGGGCTGCTCATGAAGGACCAGTGGGGGTGGCTTTGCACTGAGAACATGCAGAAGACCATTAGGCTGCTCTTTGGGACGCTCATTGACAGGTACACGTCTGCTATACCCTCTGCTGTCCGCTGTGGCATATCCCTTTGAAGGTCTTACGTTTTAACTTATCTTACATTTAGAGCTTTTATTCCTCTGCTTTATAAATTGAGGTGGTGTCAACAGGGCTCAATCGATGGGATCCCTATCAGAAGATAATCCAGCTTGATCCTGTTCTGAGACTATATTGAAATCACTGATAGTGTATGGCTTGTGTCGAAATATAAGAGCTCTTTCTGGAAAAATGCTCGTCTAGTAGATTTCGGTCTTGATTCGTGTCAGACTAAGAAAAGGAAGTTGTCACTTCCTGTACCAGGCACTACTCTGTAAAACTCTCGGGATCCCCTGGACACCAGAGATCAGTTAAGGTATCAGCAGTCGTGTCCAAGAAGTAACAAGGGGAAGTGTTTACAGTATATCTTGAAGCCAATCAAGGTTGAACTCCCTAGTGGTGGATTAACCCCCGCCTCACGGAACACCCTGTGCAAATTCTCAAAATCTGGATTCGGGAGCAGACGTCGGGTCTGTGAACCACGCCAAGACTGGACGAGACCGAAACGTGCCCTGAAATATGTGCCCTTTTTTCCTTCTATTTTTATGTGAAAGGTTAGAGATTTAGTGCCTAAGGATTGTGCTCCACATGATTGCAGTAAGACATTCTAATTGACTGTAAAATATAGGATTTCTGAGTTCTGTACGTGGGTTTAATTAGCCATAAACGGCACGGGGTGGTCTGTTAATTACCTGAAAAAGCCAAGAACAATATTTATTTCCATCTCTAACTGTTTTTCCACTCCTCTGATTTATAATTGTCCCACAGAAAGTTTGTTAAACCAATGGGTTACGGATGAGAAATTTGGACATTGGATATTCTGCTATGGGCTGTATTATTTGTGGAGTATAAAGGGAGGGGACTTAAAATAATTATTTACATTTTGAAATTTGAACATTTGACTGTAAACTACAACCCCAAATCATAAAAAGTTGGGACAGTGTGGAAAATGTGAATAAAAAAATAAAGCAGTAATTTACAAATTTCCCTTAACTTTTATTTCATTGCAGACAGTATGAACACAAGATAATTCATGTTTTTTTTTGTCAACATCATTTGATTTGTAAATAAATATCCATTTTTGCCATTCAGGCTTGCAACACATTCCAAAGAAAGTTGGGATGGGGGCAATTCAGGGGTAGTAATGAGGTATAATAACTAAATAATGATGTGATTTGAAACTGGTGATGTTCACAGGTGATTGCAATCGTCGTGGCCTCCTAGAGGTGATACAAATTTGCTGCAAGTGCTTGTCAGGGACAGGTAGAAAGATCATCCCTCAGTCAATTTAGTTACTATTGCATATCATAGTTATGTTTTTTTCCTTTTTATTGCTGGATAGTGGTTGTCTGACCAGAATATTATGCTGCTATGCCCTGTGGCTGTTGTATTTTTCCTCTATTTATGTAGATTTTCCTGGAAATGTATGTCAAGGCTGCTGTGAAATGGAGATGAACAATGCGGTTCTGTTGTCTTCAACAAAGATGGGGTTGTTAACTGGCACTCGCACCTTGGGTCTCATAAGCAGGGTTGTTAAAGATGGCTGGCACTCATATCTGGGTTCCCATATGCGGGATCATTAAAGATGACTGATAGTCACACCTGGGCTCTTATAAGCGGGATCTTTAGAGATGGCTGACTCTTACATCTGGGCTCCTTTAGTAGGGTCGTTAAAGACGACTGACGCTCAAACCCGGGCTTCTATAAGCAGGGCTGTTAAAGACGACTGACTCTCAAACCTGGGCTTCCATAAGCAGGGTTGTTAAAGGCGACTGACGCTCAAACCTGGGCTTCCATAAGCGAGGTCATTAAAGATGACTGACGCACAAACCTGGGCTCCTTTAAGCGGGGTCATTACAGATGACTAACGCTCACACACAGGCTCCTGTGATCAGGGTTTTTAAAGGTGACTGACACTCACACCTGGGCTTCCATAAGCGAGGTTGTTAAAGACGACTGACATGCAAAACTGGGTTCCTGTAAGCGGGGTCGTTAAAGACGACTGAGGCTCACACCTGGGCAGCACTAAGTGGCGTCGTTAATCACTTGCACCTCCCGTCTTACTGCACAGTAGTTATGTTTTGAAGCAGTGCAGCTTTTACGAGCCCATGACCTACTTTTAAGAGTGAGTAGAGAGCGGGTCGTTTGCTGTGGGTCTCCAGATCGAATCCTGTCTAACGAGCCTGGCGCCTTGACTAGTCCCCACGCGTGAGCGCCTTTTATGAGTTTTTCCAAGAGCAGAGCTGGAGTAGAGTGTCTGTCTCCTCGCGTCAGGATGGGACACACTCCAGCAAGCCTCAAATCTGTTTTCAAGTGCCATCCTGGGGAGGGGGATGTTTGTCTAGTTCAGATCAATGCTGATTCTCATAAGCCTATGGAGTTCCTGGCTCATATGCTAAATTTACTCTGTGAAGTAGGATCTTTGTGTCTTTGATGTTGTTTTCCAGTAAGCTTGGAGTTTCTAGGAAGCAGAAAAAGTTGTTTTAGCTGTAGGACTGTAACTAAAAGACAGGGTTTGGGTTCCCAGGAACATCTCAAATTGAGTCAAATGACAGAATGTGAATTGATGGGTGTTCTGTGACCGCAGCCACCTGTCAGCCAGTCAGCATGAGGAAATGCCTCCTATTTGCCCATTCCTACTGCCGTTGGCCTATCAGGTCAACCCTCTGTTTCCGAAACCCTACTGTTAGGGTCTTCTAACACTACCTCTGAGGTCTTCTGTAGGAGGAGAGTCGTACAACTGATGCTTTACCAGCAATTGTGAAAAGTCCTTCTTAAATGATGGATAAAAATTCACCCTACCCTCTTTATTTAGGTCATTGTGTTTGGATATGATCACCATGAGGACAGATGCATTTCTGGTTTTCATTGAAAGAAATCAGTAACAAAAGGGGTTTGTTTGTTAATTAGGAAGTCTGACATGGCCCTGCTTACGAACAGGACCGAAAGTTGCGTCACCACCATATGATTGGTCGAAATGCCTGGATATGTGAAAGAACCGGTAATCTGCGTTGATATGCATGAATTACCTAAAGGGAAAAACGATGCGTTCTATATACTATTCATTGTAATATTGCACATCGCTATTTATTGATGCATTCCTTACAACTCTGAAGTTAGCTTTTGAATCTTACATAACACTAAGATTTTCACAGACGTTCTAGAAAATTAGCACATAGTAAATCATGATGTATAGCTGTGTGAATCGCAAATAAGTGAGTCTTCGGTTTTGCATCACTCTTGTTCTCCAAACTTGGCGAGGCCTTTAATGAGCCGATGCTGCTATCGATTCCTGTACGCCCGTGGAAAAGAGGCATTACATTTTTCTCGTTCTGGCCCATCAGTGGAGCTTGTGTATGTGTGCTGGGCTTGGTGGTCAGGTCTGAACGCCTTTGCCTCAGTTCAGCGTGTGACCTGCTGTCTTCCATGCTGGCAGCTTATTCTGAGGAAAGTTCAAACTCCGCTTTTGTTTCCCGAGTTGATGTGGCCTTGCGGAAATTACTTTTTGCTGATTTTGCCGTTATTGAGATTTCCGAATCTCTCTTTGACATCAACGTATGGAATTTGCAGACAAGTCTGTTGTGTTATGGCAGTATTCCCCAGGAGGGGCTGCTGTGCTGCTTCTATCTCCCATGTTGATGACTTGGTGACCCCAAGCTGTGGCTCAGCAGTCTGGATTTTTGACAGTCGTGTTCAATGCATGTTCAGTCACATGTTTGTATTTGCCTGCTGGAGGACACCAAAGTCTGGGTAAACAGGTCACAAACATGGTCACTTTCAGAAAAGGTAATGTGATCTCCCGAGTGGCTTTGCATCTGTATTTATGTCAGTAACATTCGCAGGATGTTCATTGTTAAAAACACACTGCACGCCTGCCTTTTTTTACTGTGGCGAATATGCTCAGTGCCGGATAGTGGGATTAAAAGATTATTCTGCGTTACCTTGACCTCTGCCTTCCAGAAGCATACTGGGTAATTTTAGTTTAGGTTGCTGGGTTGATGGTTGACTTGGGAGGTTTGACTTAATATGGCAGCGCTCAGCTGAGACCTTCTCGGCTCAACAGGGTGTAACGGCTCCTTGGTGTGAGGAGCCGGCTGCCCAGTACCGCCCCGGCCAGCTCTGGTACCCGGGTTTATTTGCTCGTCATGGAATTTAATGTGCTTCACATCTGGGTCTGCTGGGTTTTTCCGTGTTTTATGCGTGTGCCGTGTGGCAGCTCAGTGGGAAAAGGCGTGCAGTTGCGTAACGTTAAATCTGACTCATGTTTTATGGCAGCAGGCGCCTTCGAGCAGGAGTGGAATCGATACTGAGAGGAGGAACTGGAGCCTCATTAGAAGGTGTGATGGTCTGAATTGCAGGCGTCTAGAGTGTGTGCTTCTCCACGTGCCCATCTTTGGTGCAGGGCTCCATGTTTGCTCACCGCAGATTTCAGGACAGACTGCAATGCCCCCCCACGTGGATTTCCAGCAAACCTCTGGTCCGGCTTTCCATATCGTCACCTAGCATGCCATCAGCTTGTCCCCATGTCTTTGTGAGTTCCGCCCCTTGCTTCATTACCGAGAAGTTGTGCCCCAAGAGTGGCGCTGGATTAAGTGCCCATCTCCCCCCTCCCCTCCCCGGGGGTGGCGTGCTTTTTGTGGGCTGTGTGGATTCCTGCTCCGGGAAGCTGCCAATGCCACCTGCCATGCTGTCATTTTTAACATTGTCCTGGGGGGCTATTCATGGCCCCCCTGGGCCCACCATGACGTTCGGCCTCAGTGAACAATGCGATCCAGGCTCAGGCCGTAGCCCCCAGCGCTCTGAGTCATTCTTCTCAATGCTTAATTTGCAAGTCTTTAATGAAGGTGTTGGGGTTCGTTTAACGAGCGTGTCGAACACCTGTGGAAAGCTGCTGTCTGTTCTGTTTGTGGGTTTAGCCCTGGGGGGGTTTTTGCCTGCTTTTTGTGCTGC